AAGCTGGTGGTTTGGGGCTGGGGCTACTGCCTTCTGGTTAGAAGTCTGACTTCTGAGTACAGACACCCCCCCCCCACACACACACCACCAAGTTCTTTTGGGTGAGGATACCACCTGGCAAAAAATACTGTGCCTGGCTCAGTCCTGGGAGATTTTGTAATACATGAATGAGATTTAAAATATGTAAAGTAGTTCACAGAAGTGTGACAAGATGGGAGCCGGAGTCAGGTTGATCCGGAGATCTAGATCTGTGCAGTTAGTGCAGAGGAGAATTTAAATTCCGAGAGAGCATTTCTATTCTCATGTTAATTTTTCCTCTAAATGGTTTCCAAATTTTCTGGAAAAGTTCCTTTAGTGGTGACTGCAGTTTTGCTGTGTTTTCAGTTGTCAGACCTCCCTTCCCTCCTCTAAAATACCAGGGAATCAGAGAAGCCTCCGAAGCACCCTTTTTCCTGGCCCTTTGAGAAATGACTTAGACCATGACCAGTGGAAGCCTCATTCCCGAGGTCCCCATGTCTCTCGCTCCCTGGGTGGCCTGTGGAGGAGGCCTGGTGGGGTAGAGGTTGGGTTGTTCCCCAGAGAGCAGGGGTACAGGTGTGGCCTCCACTCGGAAAGCTTATGGGGCAGCTCTCCCACTACTTGGTTTGTCATATACGTTTTGGACTACTTGGTCAACCTTAAAATAACAAAAATTCCCCCCCAAATGCAAATTCCTAGGTAGTTGAGCTTCCCATACTGAGTCTTCACTGTTGCTGGGCGACAAGGTGCTGAGCGATTGATGGGCTCCCTTCTGCTTCCCTGACGTCGTCCTGGTGGTGTAGTGGGTTACGAGCTGGGCTGCTAACTGAGATCAGAAGTTCGAGACCATTGACCACTTGAGAGAAGGAAGAGGAGGCTTTCTACTCAACAATCAGTCACACAGTCCGGACCATCCACAGGGGGCAGTTCTACTCTCCAGAGGTCACTCTGAGTCAGAATCGACTGGATGGCAGTTTAGTTTCTGCTTTTGAAGGCACCCTGCTGGCGTTCTCAGGTGTTGGACTGCTAACTGCAAACCCACCAGCTGCTCAGAGGGAGAGAGGAGGTGCTCTGCTTCCGGAAAGAGCTGCAGCCTCAGCTTACGGAGCAGTCCTCTGCCCTGTAGGGTGGCTAGGAGCCCGATTTGCCTCTATGGGTGTGAGGCAGAGCTCTTTGCCTAATGGAAAGTTAGATCTTCAGGATTAAGGCCTCTGCTCTTTAGGAACCAACAGCTACAACAAGATCGCCCCCACCCCCCATGCATTCCTTTATCATGGAGGTCCTGTGTGTCCTGTCACTATCGCCTGGGCTTCTGTCTTTCACCTGCTGCAGTATTTTACTCTTTTTGGTCTTAGTGATTAAAGTGGAAAGGTCTCGAGGCCTGAGTATGCTCTAGAAAATGGTTTCTACGGTTAGTCCCAAATCAGGCCCCACTCTGCGGTCGACTCCATGGCAGTGAGTTTAGATTTTGGTTTGCCGGGTGCTTTCTGTATGGTGATTGTGTTTAGTCATCGTACCTACCCACGGAGCCCGCTGCCTGAGCAGCATCTCCCTTCCAAGAGGACCCTGCGGCCTAGAGCCTGCAGGTGGCTCACTGCTGGAAAGTGGTGGCCCGCTGCTCTCAGGTCCGTGCTCGCTCCGTTGTGAGTGGTGGAAAGAACCACGTTTGACCTTGTTCAACAGCTCTTTCTCTTTCATCTTTGCTCTTTTGAATAAAGGGAAATGAGCAAGTGGTGGTCTCAGGCCGCATCACGGGGTTGACCGAAGGACTGCATGGATTCCATGTTCACCAGTTTGGAGATAACACACAAGGTGAGCATTGTGTCAGTGTTAAAATCCATGACATGGAAAACAAAATTGGCAAGTTAAAATGATGACTAATATCAATTCCAGCTTGCTGCTCACATCTAGACAGTTTTCGTACTACCATGATTTTGGCTTGATGATGTAAGAGTCTCAGGTGTTTTTTAGAAAACAAAAGACTAAACTCAGGAGGGTGGAGGCAGGGTGGGGTGGAAAGGGGGAACCGATTACAAGGATCTACATATAACCTCCTCCCTGCGGGATGGACAGCAGAGAAGTGGGTGAAGGGAGACGTCAGATGGTGTAAGAGACAAAATAATTTATAAATTATCAAGGGTTCATGAGAGAGGGGAGCGGGGAGGGAGGGGAAAAATGAGCTGATACAAAGGGCTCAAGTAGAAAGCAGATGTTTTGAGAATGATGAGGGAAACAAATGTACAAAAGTGCTTGACACAATGGATGGATACATGGATTGTCATAAGAGTTGTACGAGCTCCCAATGAAATGATTTAAGAAAAAATTAGCTACTCTGATTCTCCGTAGTGAGTCCGTGAGGAGCCCTGGTGACACAGTGGAGAACACGACTGCTCGCCACGGGGTCAGCACACTGAGCCCACCATCTGCCCCGTGGGCCAGAGACGGGCTTCCTTATTCCCATAACCACAGCCTCAGAGGCCCACAGGGACACTTCCATTCTGTCCTTGCAGGGTCGCTGGGCGTAGGCATTGACTGGACAGTGAGTAGTGCTCACATCTGGGTATGAGCTGTGGACTAGTTACTGTGTCCCTCAAATCGGGTCTGACTCATCAACCCTTTTGGACAGAGTACAACTGCTTGTACTTTCTTGTGTGCTTTCTGAGACTGCCCGTTTCCTATGGAGCGGCCGGTGGGTTTGACCTGCTGCTGGTCTTTTGGTAAGCAGTCAAGTGCTTAACCACTGGGCCATCGGGTCATTTTGGGAACCAAGAGTGGGCATGTAAAGCACAAAATCTGCATCACGTTATGTCCCCTAGCACAGGCTCTGTCGTGGACCAAAAGTAGATTACAAACTGAAGATGGAAAAGAAGTTCTTGGGGCTTTGGAATAAGTTTCCTGTCCTCAATTTGGGATTAGAAGCAAGTTTAGTGATCACTTGCTGTATTTGAGTAATCTGAATTTACTGTTTATAGGCTTTTTAATGATAATTTGATTTACTTAGGTTAGGCCTTCATATTGTTCCAATTGTGATTTAGTAACCAGATGTGCTTTTAGTAACTATTAAAATTTCCCAAGTTTTCTTAGTTTTTGGTCTCTGGAGCATGATTGTGGTCCAACTTTCCTACTGTGCCACTTCCTGTAACCGACTTGTCCTATAACCAGGATTTGCAGAGGCTGCTGGGTAGAAGGATGTACACAATGGGAATTTTCCATTGGCTGCCGAGTTAAGAAAGCCATGTCACGAAGAAACCCTGGCACTGTTGGCAGTTGTGTCTCGTGAATTGCCCTGCACACCAGAGTGCCCTATAAACCTCACCGTCTCAGTTGTCCCAGGCAGCGACCTTGGCTCTCAGAGGAGCTGTTGTGTTAGGTGGTGCATGCACCCAGTAAAGGCCACACCATAGGCAGTGTGGTGATGGGGAGATTAGAAGTTTCACTAAGGTACACTGTCTTCTATAAAAGCAAGATCATTGGCCTTCCTCTTACAGTAGAAAACGCAGAGTGGGTAGCACTTTGTTAGAGACGCTTTACCAGGGTCACAAAGTGACAACTCACTTGTCTTTGCACCCTGCCCTCTGACTTTATATTGAGGTCCCGCTGGAGTTACCACCTTAAAGGTGATATTTTGTCCATTGGCAGTTTTAGTAATGATCAAGGATTGTTGTTCCCCACCTCAAATAAATGTTCATGGAACTTTAAAGATTATGTAAAGGTATCTTTAAAATTCTGATTTGTAATTGAGCTATTTCTCTCCCCCACTCCCCCCTCCCCCTTTGTGTGTATGTGTATAAATAGGCTGTATCAGTGCTGGTCCTCACTTTAATCCTCTTTCCAAAAAACATGGTGGGCCAAAGGATGCAGAACGGTGAGTGACAGAATGTCTGACTCCTACTGAAATCTGCGGTTTGCTGTGGGGGGTGGGGGGGCCTGGGGGAGGGGCGCCATCCCTGTGTAGCCTACTTATAACTGCATGCTAAGTTGAGCGGTCCTTCTTGAATTTGTTGTTCTACGTGCTGATGACTTAATAGGCGAAGGAGTTGACAAATGGGAATACTTAAAGAGATTTGCTTTTGTAGCATTTATTGAATACAGAACTAATACATATGCCAAAGGGAATCAATACAGAAAACACCAATAACAGTACTACCAATCATTAGGTTAAGTAAACCACCATGAAACAGGAGTAGCTTCTATAGGTAAAACTTGCTATTGAAAACTAGGTGAAACTCCGTTTGCATGTCCCTGTGCACACCCGTGTCCTGTGAGCCTTTCAGGAAGACTTGAAGGATGAGGATTAGTTTATACTAGAGGCCTTAGGGGTTGAGCATTCTTCGTTATACCGATAACTAACAGACATAGCTCAGTGGCTGACCCTCTGCCACTTTTTTAAGAGCTGTGTGTGTCCAGGCACTTGTTTTCAATTTTGGTTTGATTTCTGTTTCCAAAATTCTGTTCATTCAGAAAGGTGGGCCTTCCAGGGCGTAACAGGGACTTTTTTTTTCCTCTTGGGATATTTCAATGCTAATTTTTCATTAAAATTAATCCTGAAGATATACTTAATCCGCCCCATGTATCTGAAGCCATCCTTGTTTACATTAGCTATGAGCAGTCTTAGAGTGGACACGAGCCCTTACCTCTCTGAGATGTTTTCTCCCTGTCAGGCATGTTGGAGACCTGGGCAATGTGACTGCTGGCAAAGATGGTGTGGCTGAAGTGCTTATTGAAGACCCCCTGATCTCGCTCTCAGGAGCCCATTCCATCATCGGCCGCACCATGGTGGTAAGTATGCATTAATGGGTTTGTGCCAAAATGGCGTCTAGTATTCAGGCATTTATCTTTTTTGTAATTTTGTGATGATTATTCCTGATTTCTAAAGATTCACATAAATTGCAACTTTAGTTCAGATTAGGAAACAGTTTAGCTTGTTGCGGGACTGTAGTGAAAGTGGGTCAGTTTATCTAGGTTAGTTAAAAACACTGTTTTGCTAGGATGCACTAATGAAGCAGGCTATACAAAGAGGCTTAAAGTCGTGGAAAGTGAAAAGATGGTGGAATCTTCCCACACAATTTCTGAAACTCCTTAGAATTTGACCCTATTAGTTCTGAATTGGGAAAAGTCTTTTCCGGGTTTTAAAACGGGCGGATTTTCTTGCTAGGACTAGATTTCCCTCTTAGTGAAAGCCTGAGATGGACCAGAACTGCATTCATTCAAGTTTAAGTTTTCATGCCCCAAGGCTGTTTTCATGCAAAACTACCAGTAGTGGCTGCCCTTTCTTGAACTCTGGAGATGGGTAGTACCCAGTAGTCACTTCTAAATGACCCTGACCTCGTTAATTGTTTTTTCATTGTTGGGTAGCAGAAAAAAATCATACAGATGGGGGGTGAACAAGGTTGAAATTTTCATCCCTTAAATAGTATAAACTAATTTTAGGATTAACTTTTATTTATAGGTCTTATTCACATACTTTTTTCCTCCAAAGAAATTTACACTCAGATTACTGTATCCTGGAGGGAGGATTGAGACCAGGATATGGTGGCCTGGAACTTTAACCTTGTGTTAATTTAGGTCTTTTAGGATAGATTTACACTATTAAGAAAAAGCTTTAACAGTTTCTAAGGACTTTTTTTTTTGGACTTAATAGTGTATTTCCTTATTGGTAGGGTTATTGTAATATGCTACTTTTGTCATTAAAGTAATACTAAGTGGTTCTTAAAGGTCCTTTGGATATTGTTGGGAAGTGGTGGTAATTTCTTGATAGCTCAAAGTTATATGTTCTTAAATTTTCTTAAAGATCCATGAAAAAGAGGATGACTTGGGCCGAGGTGGAAATGAAGAAAGTACAAAGACGGGAAATGCTGGAAGTCGTTTGGCTTGTGGTGTAATTGGGATCTCCCAATAAACATTCCCTCGGACATGGTCTGAGTCCTATCTTGCTAGCTGTAGAAACTGAACCTGACAAACATTAAACACTGTACTCTTAAAAAATTGACTTGCGTTCCTTTGTTGTTTTTAATGGCTTTAAGTACCTGGAATAAGGAATGATTAAAACTTGTTTCAGTGATCATTATTTTGTCAAATATAGTCACATATGGGTTAGCTATCTGAATTTCTTTGGTTCTTAGGTCTGGCACTGTATTTTGAACCTTTCAAAGAATCAAAGTCGAAATTCTAAATTCCCTCCTATACTGTACTTTTGGATCTTAGGTGGACTCGCTTTAGCATGGTAACAAGTGCTAACTGCTTCCAAAGCTGCTTCTGAAAGGGTTTCTGAGGTCATCAATATGTTCACAAGACTAACCAGTCTTTTAGCTAACATGGAACCTGACCAATTTGATCTTAGAGATAAATACTTGAACCTTTCTCAAATTTTAGCAAAATTAAGGTGGTTTTCCACTAAACACAAAAAAACTGCCGTGTAAATAAAAGCCCCTTGTGTGTACTGTAAAAGGCAAGTTCTAACCTTGGCTTAGTTAAGAATAGTAATTCACCTACCTGCCAAACAAAATGGCACAGTCCACTTTTGAAGATGTGACCATTGTATCTATACTGAAAGTAGAGGTTGGCAACATCTTCAGATCAGCCCTTCGCAGAACTATGCTGTGACACGGATCCAGAGAAAAACGTTCAAGGGCTCTGACCACTTAAGACATGCCGGAGGCTTCGCACGCCTCCGCATGAGTATGTACCTGTGTAATGTCAGGCCTGTTCACAGGTGTTTGTTCAGCTGGGAAATGCAGAATTTTATATTTGTTTTTAGGAGTAAGCTATAGCTCTGATTGCTACTATAAATATGTCTGTGCATTATCAAAATCTGTATAATTCAAGAGGAAAGCGTAACTGGGAAAGCATAATTTATATTGTCAGAAACTTAAATTGGTGGTAAATGATAATTATAAGTGGTTAAAATGACCAATTTGGGTACAGTATTAAAAATTGTATCGGACACTTTCACTAATGTACTACTTGTTCCCATGTAAAGCTCCACTACAAGGACTCACCTGTGACAATCTAAGGCCTTTCAACAGGGTGAGGGTGTCTCAGTACTTCTAACTGGAAATGGGCGCTGCTTGTCCCTTGTCTGCACACCAGATGGTTCCTTCCTGGCGGCTGTGAGGCTCAGGCTGGACTGAAAACCCGAGCAGGAGGGCGAAGGCTGAGGTCACCTCGGCAGTAAAAGCTAGCACTTCAGGTCTTACGACAGTCTCGGACTCACCCTTGTTAATTCTGTCTGCAGTTCCCACTGCCCACAATTTAATCATACCATTTAATTTGAAGGCCATAAAATTTGAAATTTCTTGGCACTGGGTAAGCAGTTCTAACGGCTTTTCCGTACTAAAAGGCTTGATTTGGCTTGGAACGTCTTCCTGTAAGCATTACTGGATCACCTGTAAGTTATTACCCCCCATCGTTAACCCAACAATTTTAAGCAAAATATTTTTAAAAGTTTAGGCTACTTCTGCCCAGTAGGGGGCTTAAAAATAAAAGGCAACAGGCAAGGCTCATTGGAAACGGTTGCATTAAAGTCCTTGAATACATGACAAGAGCTTTTTGATTGTGAATGTTAACCTTCATTTCTTTCAACTAAAAAAAAAAAAAAGGTTTTAAAAGCCCGCCTTCAAAGTAAATAATGCCCAGATAATCAGTTTACAGTACATTGTAACCACGGAATCCAGCTTCCCTTCACCCTGGGAAAATTTCCGTACAAATCAGGACATGTACCACAAACTCAGTGGGGGAAGGGGTGGGAGCTCGCCCCTACTCAAATTAACTGAAATTCAAACACCAACAAGGAACTTTTCAGTTAACATTAAAACCACCAACATTTTACCCTTTGAATGAAATGTTAAAATTCCAAAGTATTACAAATGAGAATATAAAGATGTCTATTTTCATCTTAGTCTAATTTAGACTTAAGTATTAACAGCCAAACTTTGATGTTGAACAATCTTTTTCCACCTGAATGCAGTGTAGGAAGAATAGCACACATTAAAGTTTGTTACGAAAATAGAGTTTATTAAAAACATCCCTATGGTTTTGAGGAGCTTTCACCATTACCTTGTCTTAAATTAAAAAAAAAAATAGCACTTCTAATTACGGTTTGTAAACTTTTTAAAGTCAAAACTTTAAAAAAGTTACAGCAAAAGGGTAATATTTATTCATATTTTCAGGTTTTTTTTTGTTATTTTGTGGCTATTTTTAAATAGAAGGGAAGCAATTAAATTGCTTACAACTCCCCACCAACTACTGCAGGGCTGTGATAGGCAGGAGCAAATATAATACAGCATCTGTACACCTCACGCGCTACGCTCCACCAAGTGTCACTGTCACATTTTGGTCAGTCCAGCCTCAGCGAGGAGCGTCTGCTGCTGAGCCAGAATCCTTCTCAGGTTCAACCGAAGACAAGGTAGCCTCAGCAGGTGACTCTTCAGGCGGTTTGACTGGTGCCTCGGCCTCTCCCTTAAGTTCTGAAAGGGTGTCTACATTTCCCACTTGGCTAATGGGAGGTTCAGCGGTTTTGTTACCACCTGCCCTGTCTGTCACCTCAGGCTTGTCCTTTCCTCGGATTTCCTCTTTCTCTCTACGTGACTCTCTATCTCTAGAATCTCTCTCTCGGTCTCGATGCCCACTAGAGCGTCTATTTCTCTCTTCCAAGTCTCTGTGCCTGTCTCGGTCAGGGCTCCTCCTTCCCCAATCTCTCCTTTCACGATTACTGTTCTCTCTCTCCTCATTACGGTTCCCATACCGTTCCCGGTCATTTTCCACCCTATTTCCAAAAGCTCTTCGTCCAAACCTTTCTTGATCTCTACCTGAATTGAACTGCTGCCTATTGTCGTTTCTAAACGGCTGTGGTGGCTGCTGCGAGGGCGGCGGCTGCTGTGATGGCGGCGGTGGCTGTGGTGGTGGCTGCTGCTGGGGCTGCTGCTGCTGCGGGGGCGGCTGCTGCCTTCCATCTCTGTCTTCAGGGCCGCCTGGGCCTGGACCCCCAAGCCCTGGCATTCCCCCAGGCCTAACAAAGGGGCCATGAGGTGGAAAGGGACCTTTCATTCCGTGAGGTGGAGGCATCCCAAAGCCCCCTGGTCCTGGTGGTGGGCCTCTGGGCATCATATGTGGGGGCATAGGGCGTGGTGGCATCAAAGGAAATCGCTGGAGATGAGGGGGAGGCATTCCTGGAGGGCGCTGGAGCGGGATCAGGCCGGGGCGGGCACCAAGAAGACCAGTAGACGGTGCTTGGAGCCCAATCACAGGACCAGGTGCAACTCCTTGCGTGCCTAAAAGGCAAGGACAGCACACTATGTTAAGTAACACACAAGACAGCATTCTTACCTCCACTATTTTGTGAAGCAGTACACATGGCTTCAAACTGCAGTATCATAAACTTAATGGGCGAGGGGGGGGGGGACGGGCGGCGAATAACATGTTTGGGCCAGTTTAAAGACGTTTTAGTTTTTATTATAGGTCAAAATATGCTGGAAAATTGCACTATGCCAATCATTAAACACAGTAGGCCACAATCTCCTGTAGCCACCATTCATTGTTCATCACTCAAAATACTTAAAAAGCATTTGAGAAAAACAATGTGCGTAAGTCTCCACCGGATAAACCCTTGTAACTATGCAAGCCAAATGAGTATTTTTATGAGCATGCTCAACAAAATTCTACACTTGGGTTCTAAGTCTTCATCTTAGTTTAAGACTATGGAGAAATGAGGTCACAGAACCAGAAAAATTCAATGCTACTCTCAGTCTGTATAAGGCCTTCATGTAGTTACTATGCAATAAGCATCACTTAAACATGAAAAACAAAAATAACCAAACACACTGCCACGGAGGCAACCCTGACTCATAGCAACCCACAGGACGGGGCAGACGTCCCTGTGGTTTCCTAGACCAACTTCCAGAGCGGCTAGTGGTTTCAAAGTGCGGACCTTGTGGTTAGCAACCCAACACATAACCCACACCCCACACTTTACGTTAATGCCTACAAAATAAAGGTCCTTACAAGTCTTTTAAAGTTCCCTTTCAAAGTACAGTCTAATGTGAACCTTGCTAAGCCAAAAGGACCACGGAATGTCACCCCGCCAGTCACCTTCATTCTATTGACAGGGTGGTGAGACATACAACTTGTCACCTGCAAGTAAAGCAGCCTTACTGGCGTTATTTTTTCCATCTTCCTGAGGGTTTGCTCACATGGTACTGTAAGAGTTAGACAAGTTCAACAGTCCATTTATAATGAATGGAAAGAATAAGGAACTTGTTTTTGGTTTCTCGTTTGTTACAGGAAGGCACCACTGTGCTCTGGTAATAGAAAGTATTCTAGATTCTGTCAGAACATGAGCACATGGGATGGGTTGGGAATCAAGAGAAATGCCTGTGTGACACTGCCAGAAAGTGACCCTTGCAGTCTTTTTGCCACGAATGTGATTTTATGTACAGTTTATAACACCTTTCTCCCCGTCATGCCAGTGAACCGACGAGTCTTGCATGTTCCTGGTATAGTACCCCTATTTTCTGTATGAACACTGAACACAAGAAGAAGAAAACTCCACTGCCATCGAATCAATGACCGTTCATGGTAACCTTTTAGGGCAGTGTAGAGCTTCCCTTGAGGCTTCTGAGACCGACTCTTTACGGGGGTAGGAGCTTCATCTTTCTTCTAAGGCAGCGGTTCTCAATCTGGGTCATGATGACCCCTTTGGGGGGTCAAACGACCCTTTCACATGGGTCACCTGACTCACAATAATAGCAAAATCACAGTGATGAAGTAGCAACAAAAATAACTTTTACGGTTGGGGGGTCAGCACAACATGAGGAACTGTAAAGGGTCACAGCATTAGGAAGGTTGAGAACCATTGTTCTAAGGGTTAACTAGAGGTTTTGAACTGCTGACCTTGTGGTTAGCAGCCCAACTCATAATCCATTCTGCTACCAGGGCTCCTTTTATATGAATATGATAAATAAGCATTTCTACAATTTTGCTACACAAGCATAA